TTACGTTCTCTTGAATTTCACCTACTCCATGAATATATCCGCATCGGGAAAGCAAATGGATTTTCCAGAGTGCCTTTCCCAGGGCTCTAATATTCGCTCCCTTTCTCTTCCAAGAAAAATGACCCTTGTTATAAGTATTTAGCCGCTGAAAATATTTAAAAGCCGGGGGAGGGAGGCAAATTTGCAAGGGTTTTTTTTGGGGTTTTTTTTTGCCCTCCTTTTTCCGGGAGAGTTTGCCTCGCTCCCACTGTTTGCTTAAGGAGCGATTGAAAAGATCTTCCCCGGTCCCAGTGCAAATAATATTTAGAGTTTGGAGGCTTCGAAGTCTGGCGGCGCAGAAATAACTTCGAAAGGCCAAGGGAAATATTTATTATATCAGTTCATTAAACTGCTGCGGTGACCAGAGTGGAGTCACATTTCAGGCAAGAAATAGAAAATATTTCATTCGAATTCCGACGGAAACCGTGCTGCAAAATAAAAATCGGCCACTTCAACCGGGCCGAGCGAAACGGGCACTTAAAGAGGCCTTTAAATACATATATTGAAATTTCTAAAGCCATCGGCCCACTGATTTTACCTATATATCATTATTCCAGATTTCCCACCATTAAGGTAGAAAGGCAAATAAATCGCGGGCGTTACTTCGTGTAATCCTTTTATTTTTGGGGGGTTTGGATTTGCACTCACACGGCGGACTTATTAAAAACGGAGGCTCCGGCACCTCTCCAGGGGCTTTGGAAGCGTTTCCAAGTAAAGATGTTAGAACAGATTTTCACCAACCGTGTCAGACCTCTTTTTTTTTTTTCGGTATAATTTAAACCCTCTCCAAACAAAATCCACGCCGGAATGAAAATTATTTTTTAACTGCTCGCGTTAATATCCTAGAGGGACCTCGGCGTAATTGGATTTAATAAATGCATTTCCCCTCATATTCTGTTAATTCGACTCCAAATAGCGTTTCAGGGCTTATCTTAAACAAAAAAAAAATATACTAAGAAGTTGCTCGGCGTTTCCTCGCGGGAGACCCAAATCAATCCGCCTTATTTTCTACCCACATCCCACCCGAAATCCTGAAGCCCCTTTTTTTACTATTATTATAATAATTATTTTATTTTTTTTTCATTCCTGCCTCTCCTCTGGCGGCCGAAAGTCGCTCCCACCTCGCCCTCATCTTCTCCCATCTCTGCCCAGACTCTTCCTCCCACCTCGCCCCCCTCCCCTCTTTCTTTTGCTCTCCCTCTTTTTTTTTTTTTCACACTGCCATGGGTCTATCAGGGTTATACACAAGACTGAGTCACGCACGGCGTAAACTTTTGACCCTCAACTTTTTGACCCCTCGAGCTATAACGCTGTACTAACAAGCCCCCCAAGACCACAGTTACCGTCTACGGCTCCAGAAACCAACGCGGCGCTGACTCTCCTATTTTACTTATTTTAATTTAAA